AGCTTCTGGTTACCTTGAAGACTTGCAGCTCCTCCAGGACCAGCTCCTCGCGGTGGTGCCAGCTGTGTTTGGGCACCGAGATCACCTTCAGCACCGAGCCAACATCTGCGGAGAGACAGAAGCAGCTGCGTCAGGACCACCGAGTCATAATAGCGCATATCCCACCGCACTCCGGACCGGGACCCCAATATGATACGATGGGGGCTGGTACGACCTGCTGATGGCGCCGCGTGAATCCTAATGTGTAAGTAGTCACCGGCACACTAAGGTCCGACGTGCCGAAACGCCCGAATTCAGGGTGTTAAACATACATGGCGGCACTCGTGTATAGCAACGCTTCGAAATCCTTTGCGGTCCCTTCACCATAGCGATCATATGTTTGCCTGATGAAGGGACCGCCGAAGAATCCGAAACGTTGGCGTCCACGAGTGCCGCCATGTAGGTTTAGCGTCTGAATAAAGACGTTTCGGCACGTCGGACCTTAGTGTGCCGGTGACTACTTATTAGGACCACCGAGTCATTATAGCGCATATCCCACCGCACTCAAGACCGAGACCCCAATATGATAAGACGGGGGCTGGTATGACCTGCGGATGGCGCCCCGTAGTCACCGGCACACTAAGGTCCGACATGCTGAAACGCCCGAATTCAGACGCTAAACCTACATGGCGGCACTCGTGTATAGCAACGCTTCGAAATCCTTGGCGGTCCCTTCACCATAGCGATCATATGTTTGCCTGATGAAGGGACCGCCGAAGAATCCGAAACTTTGGCGTCCACGAGTGCCGCCATGTAGGTTTATCGTCTGAATAAAGACGTTCGGCACGTCGGATCTTAGTGCGCCGGTGACTACTCTTATATTAGGGCCAGCAGGTGATGCGCACACAACGCGGGAGCGCTGAACATAGACGGTCCGGTCACCTGTTCCGATGAACATGACGTCGTACTCCCCGTCCGCGGCCGTCACCCTGTCCACGGCCAGGCGGGTTAGGGTGACTCCGTTGTGGCTCCGCAGGAAGATCGGCCTCCCGGATCCCGGTACCACGGGGTTGAACATGAGCGGGTGGTTGCGGGCGAACTGCAGGACGTCGTCCGGAAAGTTTTTGGTGGATTCCAAGCTGCCGAATGTTTTGCTGGGGCACTAGAAGGGGGCAGAGAAAGTCGTTGGTGCCAACATGAGGTGTAACGATGTACAATCACCTTCACCCAACAGAGCTTACCGTCTGCCCCCAACACAGGAAACATGTGACACTCACCATCCCCGGCCGGGGGTAGGGCACTCTGCCCTGATAGGACACCCATTGGTAGTTGGGCCCCTCCTTGTGAGCAAAGGGCCCCAGGAAGGCCCTGCGGACGTCACTCATGGTATAGACGCAGATCGCCGAGCCGCGGAACACCGAGCTGAAGGTAAAACACGGAACAAAAAGCGGTTTAGACGACACCCACCTACAGAGCGATATGGGACAACTTTATTTGTTTCTATACAAAAAACACAGAATTTTCTTCCCGCAAATCTCATCTAATGAAAGTTCTGAATCAAAAATCACACGAGACAGAGACAGAGGAGGGCGCGCAAAGGGGCGTAACCCATAGCAACCGATGGCGTGTAAGGTGACCGTTACCAGCCTGTGAGATAATGATTGTTTACCTGGAGGTGGAGAAGAGAGCGTAGATGAGAGGATTCCTCCTGTCCCTGGTCTGCAGCAGGAAAACATCACCTACGGGGGGGACAGAGAGAGGGGATAGAAGGGGGAGAGAGAGAGAGGATAGAAGGGGGAGAGAGAGAGAGGATAGAAGGGGGAGAGAGAGAGAGGATAGAAGGGGGAGAGAGAGAGAGGATAGAAGGGGGAGAGAGAGAGAGGATAGAAGGGGGAGAGAGAGAGAGGATAGAAGGGGGAGAGAGAGAGAGGATAGAAGGGGGAGAGAGAGAGAGGATAGAAGGGGGAGAGAGAGAGAGGATAGAAGGGGGAGAGAGAGAGAGGATAGAAGGGGGAGAGAGAGAGAGGATAGAAGGGGGAGAGAGAGAGAGGATAGAAGGGGGAGAGAGAGAGAGGATAGAAGGGGGAGAGAGAGAGAGGATAGAAGGGGGAGAGAGAGAGAGGATAGAAGGGGGAGAGAGAGAGAGGATAGAAGGGGGAGAGAGAGAGAGGATAGAAGGGGGAGAGAGAGAGAGGATAGAAGGGGGAGAGAGAGAGAGGATAGAAGGGGGAGAGAGAGAGAGGATAGAAGGGGGAGAGAGAGAGAGGATAGAAGGGGGAGAGAGAGAGAGGATAGAAGGGGGAGAGAGAGAGAGGATAGAAGGGGGAGAGAGAGAGAGGATAGAAGGGGGAGAGAGAGAGAGGATAGAAGGGGGAGAGAGAGAGAGGATAGAAGGGGGAGAGAGAGAGAGGATAGAAGGGGGAGAGAGAGAGAGGATAGAAGGGGGAGAGAGAGAGAGGATAGAAGGGGGAGAGAGAGAGAGGATAGAAGGGGGAGAGAGAGAGAGGATAGAAGGGGGAGAGAGAGAGAGGATAGAAGGGGGAGAGAGAGAGAGGATAGAAGGGGGAGAGAGAGAGAGGATAGAAGGGGGAGAGAGAGAGAGGATAGAAGGGGGAGAGAGAGAGAGGATAGAAGGGGGAGAGAGAGAGAGGATAGAAGGGGGAGAGAGAGAGAGGATAGAAGGGGGAGAGAGAGAGAGGATAGAAGGGGGAGAGAGAGAGAGGATAGAAGGGGGAGAGAGAGAGAGGATAGAAGGGGGAGAGAGAGAGAGGATAGAAGGGGGAGAGAGAGAGAGGATAGAAGGGGGAGAGAGAGAGAGGATAGAAGGGGGAGAGAGAGAGAGGATAGAAGGGGGAGAGAGAGAGAGGATAGAAGGGGGAGAGAGAGAGAGGATAGAAGGGGGAGAGAGAGAGAGGATAGAAGGGGGAGAGAGAGAGAGGATAGAAGGGGGAGAGAGAGAGAGGATAGAAGGGGGAGAGAGAGAGAGGATAGAAGGGGGAGAGAGAGAGAGGATAGAAGGGGGAGAGAGAGAGAGGATAGAAGGGGGAGAGAGAGAGAGGATAGAAGGGGGAGAGAGAGAGAGGATAGAAGGGGGAGAGAGAGAGAGGATAGAAGGGGGAGAGAGAGAGAGGATAGAAGGGGGAGAGAGAGAGAGGATAGAAGGGGGAGAGAGAGAGAGGATAGAAGGGGGAGAGAGAGAGAGGATAGAAGGGGGAGAGAGAGAGAGGATAGAAGGGGGAGAGAGAGAGAGGATAGAAGGGGGAGAGAGAGAGAGGATAGAAGGGGGAGAGAGAGAGAGGATAGAAGGGGGAGAGAGAGAGAGGATAGAAGGGGGAGAGAGAGAGAGGATAGAAGGGGGAGAGAGAGAGAGGATAGAAGGGGAGAGAGGGGACAGAGAGAGAGGGGAGAAGGGGGAGAGGGGACAGGATAAAGGGAAGAGAGGAGGGGGAGCAGTTGGAGAGGGAGAAGGAAGGAGACACACAGGGAACAGATTGTTATTTGTTGGACAATCTACTCTGAAAACATGTTGTTCGGTTTTGTGTTCTGTTCAGCACTTCCTCGCCCAGTTCTCTCCTTCTCTGGCACTTTCTGATATTTTTTGGCTCACATAAAGAACTAAAAAAAATAATAATACAAAAATACCCAGAAAGACTTTTGATATTCACTAAATCACAGATCTAAAAGAAAAATCCTGAGCACATTATTGGGCACAGAGCCATCATGCCGCACGGCGTCCAGATGTAATGTGCTTTCCATCATCAAATGGTTCACATACACGCCACAGGTGTCACCGAGCCCTGGACACAGCAGCAAGAACTCTGACCAAAGGGCCCCATTCTAAATCCTGCACTAATAAGTACTAAGAAGGCGGACACAGTTGGTTAAATACCTCTATATTAGGATGTATCCGGTCTATAAATGGCGGCTCTGGATGGACAGTTGGATAAATGGCTCTATATTTAGGATGTATCCGGTCTATAAATGGCGGCTCTGGATGGACGGTTGGATAAATGGCTCTATATTTAGGATATATCGGGTCTATGATCCAGCGATTCTCTGTATTGAGTACTTACGGAGCTCATCGAAGTACGTGTCCCCTCCGCCATCACTCCCCGGCATGCTGCAGACAAGTCGCGCCTTGAGGAATGTCGTCCATTTATTCACTAAGCTCCGCTGACCTCCCACATCATTCTGGGGAGAGAATGTCTCGGGTCATACAAAAGGAGGAGTGAGGATGACAACAGCGGAGAGAACAAATCATTATTCTTCTATGTCAGTGACAACAAGTGTTGCTCTCCGTCCATTCATCTACAGTGTCAGTATCCCAATTACCCGACATATCTGCCCAATCCGAGCGTACGACTGTTTGATGCCTCCGAGCCCCTCGACCGGCGTCTCCCGGAAGAAGAAGTAGATTTTATCATCGTCCGGGTTCTCGCTTTCGGGGATCCAGAAAACCTTCACGAACTTCGGCTCTGAGACACGAGATACGGAAAATGTTCACACGGAGCAGCAAGCTTTCCTCACACAGTAACAGTCCCATATTCATTGCGTCAGTAACAGTCCCATATTCATTGCGTCAGTAACAGTCCCATATACATTGCGTCAGTAACAGCCCCATGTACATTGTTTCAGTAACAGCCCCATGTACATTGCGTCCGTAACAGCCCCATGTACATTGCGTCCGTAACAGTCCCATGTACATTGCGTCAGTAACAGTCCCATGTACATTGCGTCAGTAACAGTCCCATGTACATTTGGATAAATGGCTCTATATTTAGGATGTATCCGGTCTATAAATGGCGGCTCTGGATGGACGGTTGGATAAATGGCTCTATATTTAGGATATATCGGGTCTATGATCCAGCGATTCTCTGTATTGAGTACTTACGGAGCTCATCGAAGTACGTGTCCCCTCCGCCATCACTCCCCGGCATGCTGCAGACAAGTCGCGCCTTGAGGAATGTCGTCCATTTATTCACTAAGCTCCGCTGACCTCCCACATCATTCTGGGGAGAGAATGTCTCGGGTCATACAAAAGGAGGAGTGAGGATGACAACAGCGGAGAGAACAAATCATTATTCTTCTATGTCAGTGACAACAAGTGTTGCTCTCCGTCCATTCATCTACAGTGTCAGTATCCCAATTACCCGACATATCTGCCCAATCCGAGCGTACGACTGTTTGATGCCTCCGAGCCCCTCGACCGGCGTCTCCCGGAAGAAGAAGTAGATTTTATCATCGTCCGGGTTCTCGCTTTCGGGGATCCAGAAAACCTTCACGAACTTCGGCTCTGAGACACGAGATACGGAAAATGTTCACACGGAGCAGCAAGCTTTCCTCACACAGTAACAGTCCCATATTCATTGCGTCAGTAACAGTCCCATATTCATTGCGTCAGTAACAGTCCCATATACATTGCGTCAGTAACAGCCCCATGTACATTGTTTCAGTAACAGCCCCATGTACATTGCGTCCGTAACAGCCCCATGTACATTGCGTCCGTAACAGCCCCATGTACATTGCCGCCGTAACAGTCCCATGTACATTGCGTCAGTAACAGTCCCATGTACATTGCGTCAGTAACAGTCCCATGTACATTGCGTCAGTAACAGTCCCATGTACATTGCGTCAGTAACAGTCCCATGTACATTGCGTCAGTAACAGTCCCATGTACATTGCGTCAGTAACAGTCCCATGTACATTGCGTCCCCGTCTGCCGATGGTCATGTGGTCAGGAGGGTCACATAGGCCCGCCTGGTCACCGTGGACTTTATACAGATTTAGGACAGACTTGGGACGTGTCGCCGGGGACGAGATGCGTGACCCGGAGTGAAGAAAGGGGTTCTGTCCGCCAGGAATCAGGCGTTTCATCTTCGGGGGGGACAGAGAATGAACGATGGCGTGTGATTGGCTGTCAGCGGTGTGACGCTATTGTGTTTCCTTTGTCCCACTTATTATACTGTCTGTGACCTTGTTACACACTCGCTGCTATTTATATCTGCGCAGCCAGCGGGAATCGTGCTGCTCGGTGCGCAGGGGCGGGCGCCGACCCAGGCTGCGGAAGATGGTGAAGTCTCGTCCCATGAGATCCGTGGCGACTCCGGAGTATAATTCGTCTCCTGGGAGGGGAGAGGGGTGCAGAAGAGGATCAGTGCGCTGGGTGCAGAGAGAAGTATTAGGACATAACGAGCGGATATACAAAGAAGTACCGTGAGTGGGAGGAGCTTCACCCGCTGCACCAGATACCGTTTCACTTCCATGTGCGAATAGCTGCGGCTGCTCCACCTATGCCAAGCAATGACCGGCTGATGGTGGCCGCGGCTGTTCAGATGTACACGGACACCCACCTTTGGTCAGGGGCAGGCGATCGTCCCCGGACGCAGACTGCGATTAGTTATGGACAGCTGCGGCCGCCCGTCAGCCTGGCATTGCTTTGCGTAGGCGGAGCAGCCGCAGCTATTCGCACGCACCTGTCATTGTGACCCTAGGAATTTGTAATACAGCTCTGATCACATGTGTGAATGGGGGCCTCAGCCTACCCCTAAAAGTTAATTCAACAATGACCCTTAACACATAGTCTGATCCTAACACTTAAAGGAGAACTATGAGGGGGAGGGGCTTGTCACTCACCTCATAGTTCTAGCCGACCTGTGACAATGATTTTTTTTTAATTTCTTCCAAAATGCTGTTTGTGTTTTATCTACAAACCTGTTTATTATACGTGGATGATTAAAGGCATGATTTAAATCTTCCGCTCGGCGAATAGCTGGGCAAATGCTGTTTGCACAACGTTACAGCCACTAGGTGGAGCCGAGGAGCCTCTGGAATTCCTATACTCCTTAGCACCGTCTAGTGGCAGTGTGTCATGTGAACGGCATTCACCGGGCTATACGCTGGGCGAAAGATTTATATATCAGCCCCTTAAAGTGGCCCTAACCCAATGTTACCCCTTAACCGTCTGTATATTACCCCCCTGTAATGTTTACATTTACCATATCAGGGCCGATATTTAACTGTCCTATGCAGTGATCCTCCAGCACTGGTATTGAGTAGGGATGCACCGATACCGGTTTTTCGATATCGAGTACCCATATTTTTTTTCCTTCATCAGGTGATGAGGGAGCATGAAGCCGGCTTTCTGGCCAATCAGGAAGCTGGGGGTGTGTAATGACTGCCTGCCCTGGCTTCCTGATACCGAAAGTATGGGGGTAGGCATCGGAGCATTTGACCGAGTACTCGTCCAGATACTCGGTATCGGCACCAGGGGCGTCCCGAGGCTGGGCGACACTCGGAGCGGTAACCGAGTGTCACCCCGCCCGAGACGTCACTGCGCATGCGCGGCACTATTCTGATACCTGCCGGTGGGCCATCTTGGTGATGGACGCCGGCAGAGAGAGGAGGGGACAGTCACCCGGCGGGATGAGGTATGCCGTCGGGTCCCCTCCTCTCTCCTG